CACATGCGGCTCTTTCAATGTAATTGTAAATGTTATTATGATTTTGTAATATTTGATTGGAAACACAAAACATTTTTGGGAACAGCATGAGAGTATACAACTTAATAAATGGATGATTACAATCCCAAGGTTTAATTTAAACCTTTAACACACGAGTAAAACCCCGAACCTCCTCCTGGTCTTTTTTTTTTTTGTCGACGAACCAATCGTTCTAATTGCACTGTCATTGTCACCGATAAAATTCCATCGAAATGTTCTATATCAAGTACTATATATATAGATATATATATCTTTCTATCTCATTGGTGACATATGCGTACGAGTGTTACGCCTATGGCGTGTCAATTGTGATAAATTAAGCAACGTGAAGTAGACTCGTGTCATTCGAATTAATCATACGAATCGAATCAAATAGAATCCCGTTGATTTATCTATTCCTATTATTATTATTATTAATATTATTATTATTATTATTTTGTTTTCCTCTTCATTTTCTTTTTTCTTTCATTTATACGAAACTCATTTCATTCATTAAATACGAAATTCATTTCATTCATTTATCACGTAATAAAATATTAAATAATTAAATTAAATAATTAAATAAAATACAACAAAAAATACTTTTACATTTAATTAATTGGACTTGTTTAAAAAAAAAAAAAAAATACAATTGTTTGTTTGTTAGATGTTTAATACATTAACTTGATTATTACAACAACAACAACAACAACAACAACAACAAAGTGTAATGTGCAAATCAAATATAATTAGATATTAAACATTAGATAAAAAATATTGTTTAAATTTTAATAATAATTAATAAAAGCAAAATTTTCGTTGATAAAAAAAAAAAATAATCAATAAACCGAATCAAAAAAATATTCATTTCGTTATCAACATACAAGCCCGTATTTGCTCGTGTTCAACATACAAATTTAAAAAAAAAAAACAGAAAAATGTGTTTTCACCTTGTTATCATGTTACTCAACAGCAATACGTTTAAGTAACACATGTTTAATATTTCATAAGAAAAACAAATAAAAAAAAAAAAGAAATAAAAAAGAAAGGAGAGAAGGATGAATATGAAATTGTAATGTTTCAAAATTCCGTGAGCATAATTAATCCAACGAAACATATGTGCTGATATATAAATAATATCAAATGACATATTACAAATTGCAAATTGTCATTAATGTCACCAGATAGTAATAATGGGGAATTCCCCTAATTCTCATATCGTTGAATTATTCGAGTAAAAATTTGGAGAATTTTTTGGGGGGGGTTTTTTTACTTGCAAATTATTCGATTCCTCCTCAACGTTGTGAAGTTTTTAAAACAATTTTTTTTTGGGGGGTTTTTTTTTTTCTTTTGTAATTAACGATACCTTCCTCCTCGTTATTTCTGGCGGTATCATGTTTAAAATCTAAAGTTAAACTATGTTGAAATATAAGATACTGAAAAATCGGATAATTATATACGTAACAACTATTTTCTTATAATAATATAATAAACTTTTTTTTTTTAATTTAATACGTAAAATAATCCTGTGAATTCTTTCAATATCTGAATATTAAATTGTTCAAGTGATATCAAATTTTTATTATCTTTGTGCAGAATATTTACAAAAATAAAAAATAAAATTTAATTAAACTAACAGAGATAATTATGACTGTTTGTTAATAAAACAAATAATTCGCAATAAAATAATATTGCGATTATAAATTGAGATATAAACTATCTCCTATCTTTCAAGTTGGATGAAATTGCACACAGTGTGCACAATTTTATTAAAAGTGGTTCAATAATTTAGGAGTACATTGCGGACAAACAAACGTGACATGTAATTTATATATATTAAGAAGATATAAACTATCCTATCTTTCAAATTGGTTGAAACTGCACACAGTGTGCACAATTTTATTAAAATTGATTCAGTAATTTAGGAGTACATTGCGGACAAACAACGTGACACGTAATTTATATATATATTAAGAAGATATATTTTATTATATTATATTATATATATATAATTTCTAATTTTATTTAATTTGTCGTAACCAATAAACTTCTCTTTCAAATTTAAAATAAAATTAAATTATACTTCCATATATATATAATTTTTAATTTTATTTAATTTTGTCACAACCAATACTATCTTTACAAATTTTCAATTACCTCTCTAACAAAGTGGTTTAAAAAATATTATAAAATAAAAAATAAAACTTTTCTCTCTCTCTCTCTCTCTATATATATATATATAAATATTTCGTTGATAAGATTAAAATCGATTAACAAGGATTATTTTTAGTGAAAGATGAACGAGTAAGAAAGTCAGGACGACGCATCATCCTTCCTTTTATAATCGAATCACCGACATCATTTCTCTTAGAATCCTCACGAGACTTCTTCCTACGCCGAAATTCCGAATCCGTCGTCTTATCGATCGTCTTAGTCTTCGTCGTAGTGGTTGGTTTTTCAACGACATGGACTTTCTCGATTGAACGTAGTTCCTCTTTCGACATGGACAAAGCGACACGAATGATCTCTATCATTTTATCCGAAGATTCTGCCCCTTTTTCTTCCTCTTCCTCTTCCTCTTCCTTTTCTTCCTCTTTCTCTTCCTCTTCCTCTTCCTCTTCTTCTTTTACTTCAACTTTTTTCTCATCCTCTTGTACCATTTTCCATCTTAGCAACATCTCATTCGAATCATCGTTCGAATCGTATTCTACCACCTTTGAATTTATTTGATCGATTTCTTTCAAATATCTGGGACTTTCTTTTCCCACCACCTTCACCACCACCACCCTCCTCTCCTCCTCCCCTCCTACACCTTCATCTTCATCTTGAGAATCTTCGTTATCAAAAATACATTCATTTAATGATTCTTTTACATTTACTTGATTATTATTCATCTTCTTCTTCTTCTTCTTCTTCTTCTTCTTTTTATTACCCATTTCCGCTTGATGTTGCATACAAGTCGTTTTATCGATAACGTAGGTAGCATTAGTTACCTGACTTTTCAAGGACGTCGTACTATTACTACTATTAGTCAGTCTTACTTCAGCACTCGTTGAATTTTCAAATTCTTTACGAAATGTTCTTGATGTTGAATTACCGTTCATTTGTTCATTCATTTCTTCTTCTTCTTCTTCTTCTTCTTCTTCTAAATTTTGTGACGATGAACACAAAGAAGATATAACAGTATCATTTGTTATAATTGAATCATCTTGAAATTGATCATCAACATATTTGTTCAATCCTATTTGAGTTTTGGAAGAAAATGTTATTTTTCTCAAGAGACTCGTCAAATCAACGATAAGATTTTGAATGTAGGATAGCATTGGTGTGTCACCTTCCTCTTCGCTGATCCTAGCACAAATCCTGAATTCTTCCAAGGCCTCGGAAAATCTACCCAGTTTAACCAATGCTTGTGCACGTAAAAGTTTACCATGAAGTATCCATTTATTCGAAAGGATATCTTCAGCAATTTCCATAGTACGTGTACCCATGTCAAATGCTTTCATAAATTGACCAGTTTCCAAATGACAACGTCCAATCTCGTGATTGATCCAAGCACGTAAAATAGGTGATAATTCTTTTAAATTTTTCGACAAATGTTCCCAAGCTTTAGCTGCCGCGTCCAAATGATCAAAACTCAAATGTACCTTGCCCAACGTAACCAATGCTTGCGACATTAATATCGAATCTTCGCTCATTTTCGCGATATAAATCATTTTAGCGACATAATTTACAGCAATGTCGTGTCTACCTAACATAACGTGTGTCAAGGCCAAATAACGATATGCCTCTGTCTCATATCTCTTAGTTTCTTCAATTCCATTTGACATTGTTAACAATTCTTTCGCATATTTGACAGTTGTAGTAACATTACCAGAATGAAATGCAATTTCTAATTTTTTCAAATTTGTCTCTGCCATCATTTTCATACGATTTAATATAACATTTGATCGTGTCAAACGTAATTTTGTTATACTCGTGTTAATTGACGATGATCCTTTCCATAAATTTTCATGCTCGTCGAAGTAACTACATTTCATCATAAAATTATGTGTTAAATATATTATTTATGTATCTTATTTGTTTTTTAGTTCTTTTTTTTGATGAAAGTTTCAATTATAAGCTTTTAAACGCATTTTCAACAAATATATATATAATATTATATATATAGTATTATATTTAGTAATTTTATATTTTAGTAATTTTATATTTTAGTAATATTGTATATACTATATTATAAATATAGTATTATATATTTAGTTATTTTATATAAATTTAGTAATATTATATTTATATAGTATTATATTTAGTAATTTTATATATTTAGTTATATCGTATATACTATATTATAAATATAATACTATATTTAGTAATTTTATATAAATTTAGTAATATTATATATAGCGCTATATTATTATATAA